AAAAAAAAAAAATATTGCACTACTTTAATGCGTAAATAACCAAAACCATTAGAAAATCAGTAACATGAAATACATACACGAAGGGTTTGTCCTTCGGATTTATTTATTTCATAGCAAATACCAAGCGTGCAGTAAACTGCAATCTTTTGAAGTTGAGTGGCATTTCTATTGCAATTAGTGAATTCGAGATAGCAACATACTTCGTTTTTTAGTGTTAGCCTAAGGCGTTGTGGGCCAATGGTTCTTGTTAAAATCATATCCCAATCTGATCCGATTTAAATATAATTTTAAAGAAAATACTTTTACACCAAACTCCGCCACACCTTTCATATTTCATTGAAATTGGTGCGTCAAATATGTGAAATCGGTCGATAATATATATATGGGAGCTATATCCAAATCTTAACTAATTTCCAATTAATTTGTCACATTTATTATTGTAACCAAATTCCGTCACACATTCTGAATTTCATTGGAATCGGTCTTTTATATCGTGTTTGGTGCATAACATGTATGAAATCGGCCGAAATATATATGTTAGCTATATCCAAACCTCAACTGATTTCAATATAATTTGGCAATTTTTTCTGGTGCCAGATTTTGTCTCTCTGTCTTTGGGTGCATCAAATAGAAATCGGCTGAGTATATATATAGGAGCTATAATCAAATCTGAGCGTATTTGAATATAATTCATTGGAATCGGAAATACGTATCGTGTTTTGTGCATCAAATATGTGAACTCAGCGGAAAATATATATGGCAGCTATATACAAATCTGAACCGATTTTAATATAATTTGACAAATGTATATTTGTTTTAATTTCCGCTACACATTCCAAATTTCTTTGAAATTAGGGATACATAGCGTGTTTGGTGCATCAAATACATGAAATCGGTCGAAAATATATATGGGAGCTATATCCAAATCCAAACCGATTTCAATTTAATTTGACAAATTAATTTTGGCTCCCAATTCCGATACTTATTTTAAATTTCATTACAATTGGAAATACATATCGTGTTTGGTCCACCAAATACATGAAATTGGCCGAAAATGTATATGGGAGCTATATCCAAATCTGAACCGATTTTAATATAATTTGGGAAATCAATTTTTTAGATAAAATCTATCACACGTTTCAAATTTCATTGAAATTGGGGATACATAACGTGTTTGGTGCATCAAATGCTTGAAATCGGCCGAAAATATGTATGGGAGCTATATCCAAATCTGAACCGATTTCAATATAATTTGACAAACATTCATATTGTGTTTGAGGCATCAAATGAACGAAATCGGTCGAAAATATATATGGGAGCTATATCCAAATCTGAACCGATTACAATATAATTTGGCAAACTTATTTTTGTTCCAAATTCCGTTACGTGTTCCAAATTTGGAGACTGTATCTTCAACCAATCAATAGATATGTGCATATAAATTCTAAATTTTTGGGAGGTACCTCCGATTCTGATGCTATATCTCCAGTTCCAAGTGGAAATTCAAAAATGTATATAGCCTATGTTACTTTCAGGCGATGGTGCAGTATAAATGGAAATTTTCAGGAAAATCTATTCAGCGGTTTTCGAGTCCATAAATTACAAACAAACAAACAAACAAACATACAAACATTTTCCTCTTTTATAGATATAGAAGAGAAAAGTCAAAAAATAGTTATTGAAAAAATACATACATCATATGGTTCTGCAAAGACCACATATACATATATATTCTACCGATAACATCAACATTATTATGTATGAACGCAATAACAAACTATTTGAAATCTATATTATCAATGCCATGTGGCAGATTATTGTATGCAACTGACGACATACTGACGTATACCATATGTCGGTCATCATACGTCATTAGGTACCTCAAAGAAAAATTTCGTTGTGGTTAAAAATAAATTGAATTTTATTTAGCGATATTTTTCTTACGAATATTTTTTATATTAAGACAGTCTTTTTTTATTATTTAAATATTTATCTCTGACATTAAAAAAATTTCGAATTTTTCAATTCGTCTCTTGTCCATATATGGTGTTAATATAATTTATTATATACTGTGTGAGTGTTGCTGTGTGTGTGTGTGTGGATGTGGTGTGAAACAATATTCATTTTCATGTCTGTGGTCCTGAATTTTGAGTTATTTTTAGACATTTCAACTCGAACTATTAATTATCACCAATAGTGGTTCATCGTGTCGTATAATTAATATTAATTTTGAAAACTATTGGATATGTGTGTAACTAATTAATAGCAAAAATGATACTTAAACGTTTACCATACACATAAAATGGGAAATTATCAATGCTCTAATAAATAGAAATTAATAGATACTAAATTTTTCATGGCGAACTCTAATTACTGGGAACAAATTTAGGGGAGGGAATATTGGTGAATTTTTAATTTAAAATTTGAATTTTTAAATATTCAAATTTTAAAGGAAATTTATAAAGACAATTTCGACTGTGGTCTAAAGGGTGAGATAAAAAACTGCAACAAAGTCAAACATCATAATTTAATCATTTAAATTTTATTTAATGAACGAAAACAAGATAAAAAATTAGTAAGTTCGACCGGGCCGAACTCTAAATACCCTCCGCCATTTGTAACGAATTAAAAAATTTTCAAAAAAAAAAAATACATTAAAAGTTCTGTTGAAATTTTTAAAATACCTAATATCGGAAGGTGCCGATATATGGGGGGATATGCGATATTGTGGACCTATATAAACAATACGCTTTCAGGGGGTAAAGTGCTCACAAAGAACACCTTGTGTGGAATTTCAAACAATTTCATTGAAAAATGTGACTAAAATCGTCAAAATACCGAATATCGGGGGGTTACCGTTATATGGGGGCTACACGATATCGTGGACCGATATAGCCCATCTTCGAACTTGACCTGCCTGCAGACAAAAGAGAGATCTCTGCAAAATTTTAGCTTCCTATCTTAATTCATTTGGACTGTAGCGTGATTATCACAGACGGACGGACAGGGCTAAATCGTCTTAAAATTTTACGCTGATCAAGAATATATATAACAAACGGAATGACTATGTATGGTGGAGGGTATCATAATGTCGGGAATAGCATCAAATTTTAGAATAAGTTCAGATTTGTTCGGATTTAGTCACCTTTGACACGAATTATGGCCTTTAAATGGCCAATGAAACCGTAACATGCTGCCCGAATATTGTTCTGCGGTATTTTGGCCCTTTCTCTGAGAAGCGCTTGCTTGAGGTGATCGACACTTTGGTATTTTTTAGTGCTAAGCTTGCTTCCCAAAATACTCCAGATACAATAGTCAGAATGTTGTACTGCGAAATTTTGGTCCTTTCTCTGCGAAGCGCTTGCTTGAGGTGTTCGGCACTTTGGTATTTTTTAGTGCCAAAGTTTGCTTCCCAAAAAACTCCAGATACAATAGTCCTAGGGATTGGTATCCGAAGATTTAGCCATTGTACGCTGGAAATGACGAGAAACCTCATTTTGTAACCGTTCTTGGGTTTCGCGTGCTGAGTCCTGTTCAAATGTCCAAGTTCTGCGGCTAAAATGGTTGCGTGCCCAAGGCTTTAATACACCCTCCAGAATATTTTCGCGATAATATTCGGCACTTATTCTGATTCCACGGTCGATTAATACGAGCGGAGAGCGACCATCGGCTGTTATGGCGGCCCACACCATCACAATGGCCAGCGCTTTAGTTCTGGTGGCCAACTGAACGTGCACATTTTCAGCTGACCTCTTTGGCAAGTAAACACGATCATTTTGTTCGTTTACAAACTGCTGGACAACGAAGGTTTTCTCATCGGGAAAAACCAAATTCGGCAGTTCACTACTTTTGGCCAAGCGTAGCTACTCTTTGGCTCTTTTGAGTCTATTTTCTTTCTGTTGCGGTGTAAGTTCATGCAGTTTTTGGAATTTCAATGGCAATGGCATTACTCGGAGCTCATTTTTCAATATTTGCCGAATGGAATATTGCGATATGTCCAACTCACGAGCCACTTTGATGCGGTTTTCGGTCAATTCGCTTCTTGACTTTTCGAACCATTTTTGCTGATGTTGCTGTTTTCTTCCGTCCACTTCCTTGACGTCGGGCTACCAGTATCAGTATCACGGTAACGAGCGATGGTACGAGACACAAAAGACTTATTCACATTTAAATGCTGGAGAGCTCTAATGATAGCCACTTGTGGTTTTCGAGCCAAATATAAAGAAATCACACTATCACGCTTGAATTCCATTTCTCACCAAAATGCTTTTGTACGCTTATAAACAATATAATGAGTCCAGTGACAGGAATAATTTTAACAACTGTCGGACGAGTGGCTTACAAATGACAGCAGTCTGAAGCTGGTTGCGGTTTTTTTTTTCATCTCACGCTGTATATAAGGTCGGCCAATAAGCCCATCTGACAACTAAGTATGTTGTCAAAATACCTAATTGTGATTTGAAATATGGAAAAAGTCAAATAACAATAGTGTAAAAACTACAAGGTCAAATTTTTGTCAAAATTAGTCTTTTCGCCTGCCCTTATTTGGCCTTGATATCTTCCATAAAATTATTTTTTTTTTTGTAGCAAATATATTTCTTTATAAGATTTTTTCCCATCGCATTTAATTTTTCTTCCGAACAATCATATTTCAAAACTTGTCATTGCTCCCACATAGCGTATGAGTGATTTAAATTAATGTACCATGGGTTGTATGATGAATGTGTGTTTGTGTGCATAGACATTTCTCATTCGCCAAAGTAGTCTTCTCATCAATTTTTCACATTTCACATATGCACAAAATGGGTCCCTTGTTGAATGCAAAATTTTGCAAAAAACAAAAGTGTCTAGAAAAGTCCAGACTCGCATTTTTCTACTCAAACAAATTAGTTTTTCCTCTAAGTAATTATTTTTTGTTTATTTTCAATTTTGTTAAAAAACAAATTCGATTACCCATTGATACACAACTCAAAAACAAAAATAAAAAAAAAACAAAACAGTTTGCAGAAACGCTGCTACTCAGTCAGACCGTGAGTAATGATGATGATGATATTATTTTAGAGTATCCGTTTATTTTCTTCGTTTCTTAGTTATTTGTTTTTTTTAGAAAATCCAATTTGATTTTCCGTTGATTTTCCATTATTGTTTTCCGTTTGACGTTCCGTTGTGAAACAAGTGTTTTTGTCTGGGCTAAAGGAATATTTTAGATATATTTTCCTAGAAATTATTTTCTGTTTTGGTTTTTAGTATAAGTATTTTGTTTAAATTAATTTCCACACTTGCACTTTACTTCCTTTGTACGTATTTAGAATAAAAAATAAATAAATAACTTCCAAAATTGATTGCAATTATTTGATTTGTAGATTTTCATTGCTATTTGCTTTAAATTACCTTTTTTAATTGCAATTATTTTTCAAATCAATTTCCTAAGATTGAGATCATCAAATGTGTTGCCAAAATTTTAGTCGTGTCTTTGTCTAGTGTTTTTTCCATAAATTATTTAAAATATTCAATTTTCTTTTCCTGTATATAAAATGTATTTAAAAATGACACAGAAAACTAAAAGAATATTTAAGTATATTTTTTGATATGAATCATATTTCAAAGTCATAAAAATTACCAATTACTTCTGAAAAAATATTTCCGCTAATGTATAATTAAAAATAGTCTGTGACAAGGCCAAAATATTTCGGTCTTTGAAGTTTTATTTTTTTTGGATGCATTGAAAATTGTTTATCGCTCAGATTTTATGTAAGGTAATGCGCAAGTCTTTAGTTGTCAAATTTTGACAGGAAATTCTGATAAAAAAAAAAATTACAAAATTTTGAAAATTTAGACTTTAAGGCTGAAAAATATCCAATGTTTAACTACTGTGTAACGTAGTGTCGTATAAGTAATGACAGACTTCATACGCCATATGGTACCAGTGAATACAAAACTAGAATTGTGACAACCTGGTTCCATCGAACGAAACTATTTTCTTATCAAGTACCGTAGAACCCGGTGGTGTGTATGAAAACTTTGCGTATGAGTAATATAAAAAATATAAATGTCACTCATACATTTATTATATGGTGAAGTAAACTATGAACTAGATTGGCACATTTCTAGTTGTGACTCCTCAAAATAATAATTTTAAATTAGCTCAAATGTAGATTATTGTAGCCAAATTTTTCAGAATTCAGAATTTGTTAAAAATCTATCCAAGAAGTTCCTGCTTCCTTCCCCCCTGGAAGGAAGGCCCATAATATCGTATAGCCCCAATACAACGGTACCCCCGATATTGGGTATTTTGATGATTTCAGCTACATTTTTTTTTTACCGGAATTGTTTTTAAGCCTTTCGTGCAGATCCTTAGAAAGTCAAAACTTCATAGATGACCTTGATGAGATTTTCTCTCACAATAAAAACTCTAGAAGCTCACTCTAGAAGTCTACTAGAAGGTCTTCTTTTCATAAAAGACTTTAATAAAACCTTTCCGTCATAGAAGATTTTGAGAAGGTATTTTTCTTCTTTTGAAAATTCCTCTCTTTATATAGGAGAATAAGTCATTTCTCCATAAAATACCTCATTTTCATTGGAAAAAAAATCTTGAGAGGCGAGTTTTTTCTTTTAGGAAGACCTTGAGAAAATACAAATTTCACTGAATGTTATGAAAAGTTCTCCTCTCCTTTGAAAATCTTTATAAATTTGTTCATAGAAAATGCTTGGAGGGTCTTTTGTTTATAACAGATCTTTTGATCAGATATTCTGTTCAAAATGGGCTTTAAGAAAGTCTTGTCCTTATAAAAACCCATGAGAAGGTTTTCTGTTCATCGAAAGCCTTTATAGTTTCTTCTTGTAATATAAGATTTTCTACTCATAGAAGATCTCGACAGTATCTTCTCTATAGAATAGGTTTAGAGGGTCTACCCGATATGTGATCTTTAGAAGGTATCCCCATTTAAATTTATGATCTTATTAGAAGAATAGTTTTTTTAAAGCCCTTGGAAGTTCGGTTGAAGAATTTCAGGGACATTTATAACCAACTTTCCGATATTTGGCCGGCTGGTGCGCATGATAACTCCCGAAGGGAATATCCGATTTAGTCCCAACGTGGTACATCATAATATTATTATCAAACTAATATCGATTTTGGAGATAGGCAATATCGGTCTACTTCTTCTAGTACCTCAAACACAAAAGGTAGATTTATTCAAACACAAAAAAAATGTATATATATATATATATATATATATATATATATATATATATACATATATATATATATATATATATATATATATATATATATATATATATATATATATATATATATATATATATATATATATATATATATATATATATATATATATATACATATATATATATATAAATTTTACCGCACAAAAAAGAAAGGTTAATCCCATTTTGGAAATCCTAATATTTGCAATATTAGTTGCGAAAATGGACAGTATCACCCACTCCAGCAAGTACCTCCCCTACAAAGGTTCAAAATTTTGAATAATTATAACTCTTATAAAATGTGATGTAAGAGTTCTATTGAGCTAACGATCTCGTCACTTGGGTAAAAAAGTTTTCTGTCATAGGAGTTGCTTTTTAAATAACTCATGGGGAGAATATCGCAGACAAAAGATAAGGGAACTGATGAGGTTTAATGGCTCTTTCCGAAACCTAGGTATTCTCTGCCTTACCCCTGGTAAACATTACCATCGTTTTCCACCAATAGACAAACGTTGTTATTATAAAAACAACAATAATGGGATTAAGCCTGATCATTTTGCAACTACAAATTTTTTTATTTTCGACAAATTTAACATATTTGAGGAAAACGTCAACTATATTTGATAGTAGTAGGATTTTAGATCAAATTACCAAAAGTGTTTCGGGTTCCAAGGTCAAACTTTTTAATTTCCTTCATATAGCCTTGACCATGTACAATAGAACCCCGATATTTTGAAATATATTTCCCAAAATCTAATACATAACACTAAAAAATTATGGAGTTACTTCAAGAATTATTGCTTTAAAAATGGATCATATCGGCCACATATAAGAATATATATTGATTTTAAGCATTTTTTAAGTTTAACTTTCGCTTAAGTTTCAGTATTAGATTTATCCATGGCGTATACATAACGACATCAGTTATACGACCTATAGCACAATAGATAAACACTTTCGAATTCGGTTTTATTAGCAATGTCTCAATTAACATGCACACATAGATTGTTGATAAAAGTATAATTATTTTTGAAAGAAGGAATTTGCCATTATTTGGGATAAACAAAAAAAAATTGTTTTATATATAAGTTTTTTTTTAACATTTTTTGGCTCAACCTATTATTGTGGACCCAAAATTAACAATTAAAATTCTTGTCTCTTTGCTGAGATGAAGATATCAAAGTAAATATTTTTGTCACATCGTTTGAACTTTGAGCGTAATCTTTATTTTTTTTTTAACTTCTGTCTGCCTACAAACCATACATTTAGTAGATTTAATTTATAAATTGATTAAACAACGGTTATTTTGCGTTGTCAAAAATTAAATAAAAATGTTAGCAATTAGCAAAAATATAATATACCGAAATACGAAAATGATAAAAACAATTGAACGCAGTTTCTCAAATTTGACTCACAATTTTTTTTTCAAATTATTCGTACAACATAGAAGTATTAATAAACATATAAAACATGTGGATTTTTTGTCTACTAATTTATATCGACCCCTTTTATATACCCCAACATTTTCGCCTTTTATATACCTCTAAATGGTCTCATACTCCCCATACCCAATCTCCTCTATTTAAGGGAAAGAATTTTAAACAAATCACTTTCACGAAAATAGTTTAACCAAGCCCCTCCATCTCCAAATTTCAAGTTTATGGTCGCATGTTCTTGTTATTTTCTCCTTCCCCCCATTCAGGTCACATCTGCGATCACTTAGTTGTTCTTGTTGCTTGTAGTGGCAACAGTGTTAACTGCCCTTTTTATTTTACTTGTCAATCACGTCCAATTAAGGCAAAGACACTTTGATTTCTATTTCTTTATTTAGACGCGTTGTTATATTTGGTTCCGAATAATTAACAATTGTTTTGTTTTATTGAAATCAATCGGCAAAAAAAATTGTTGGCGATGCTAAAAAATTGCTCTTAATTGATTTGCTGACGAAAATTTGGAGGCAATGCTGATTGATATATGAAGCCGTTGTGGAATTGTGGCCAGTTGGCGGTTACTAGTCGGACAAGGCGGTTCTAACTATCCTTTGGAAAAAAAACGAAATCGAAACATTCTTTTTAAGTTTTAATATCTTTTTCTTGCTAAATCGATCAAAAAGGTTATGGAATTTGCATACCGCGAAGCGATCATGATCGAATATTACTGTCTGAGGTGCCTACCAATAGTGAATCGGTAATGAAGAAAATGTGGAAAATTAAATAATCGATAAGCGAAAGAAAAGAACAATAAATTATAAAATGAAGTGATATATGATATTATATTGGACTAAAAACCTAAAGTTTTATATCATGAAGCACAAATATAAGAAAACAAACAATGAAAATGATGTGCAAAATATATTTATTGATCCATCAAATTTACAGCGGTATTAATGAATATATCAAATTTTGACTAGGAAATCCCACTCTATGGATATTTTTTCAAAACTTCTCGTATTCTCTTAGTTATATATTTCAAAATGAATGATTTCCACATGTCAAATTAGTACTATATTCGAATAGTTTCAGTATTCCATCTTTACACATATATTGGAATGGAGCTAGTAGTGCGATTTACGACATGGAAATACTTAAAATCAATTTTCGGCCTCAGTACGATAGATCTAATCTTATAACGAATTTAATAGTGGAATTTCAGGACTCCATTTCTACTCCTTTACACGTTGTAATATTCGTACATTCTTAGTTTCTCATCAGTACTCATTTAGTACATTTGTAATACAGAAAAGTTCACAATTTGCCAACTTCCAACTTTTTCGACCTGTCACACAAAAATTACTAAAATTTCGAAGTTCTTTTCATTTGCATGTCCACATCAAAAATTACCAAATGTTTAAATTAAAGCTCTGTTACTTTCCAATTTTTACTATTGGTACTTTTTTGGGTACCAAAAGCTAACAGTTTTATACCCTCCTCCATACAATGGAGGGTATATTAACTTTGTCATTCCGTTTGTAACTCCTCGAAATACTCATGTCAGACCCAACAAAGTATATATATATATATTCTTGATCAGCGTAAAATTCTAAGTCGATTTAGCGATGTCCGTCTGTCTGTCTGCCCGTCTGTCTGTCTGTTGTAATCACACATGTTTATTTTTCCAGTAGGCAGGTTAAGTTCGTAAATGGGCCATGTAGGTCCACGTTTTCATATAGCCCCCATATAACGGTACCTCCCTATATTCGGTATTTTGATGATTTTAGCGACATTATTCACCGGAATTGTTTCAAAATTGGTATTTGAAGTTCGTAATGAATACTACAGTCTAAGATAGAAAATTGTCTGTACAAGTCCATGTCTTCGTCTAGCCCCCATACAACGGTACCGCCCGATATTCGGTATTTTGGTGATTTTAACGACATTATTCACGGGAATTGTTTCAAATTTGGTATTTGAAGTTCGTTATAGGAACTACAGTCTGTGACAGAAAATTTTCTGTGCGGGTCCAGGTCTTCGTATAGGCCCCATATATCAGTACCTCCCTATATTCGGTATTTTGATGATTTTAGCGACATTATTCACCGGAATTGTTTCAAAATTGGTATTTGAAGTTCGTAATGAATACTACAGTCTAAGATAGAAAATTGTCTGTACAAGTCCATGTCTTCGTCTAGCCCCCATACAACGGTACCGCCCGATGTTCGGTATTTTGGTGATTTTAACGACATTATTCACGGGAATTGTTTCAAATTTGGTATTTGAAGTTCGTTATAGGAACTACAGTCTGTGACAGAAAATTTTCTGTGCGGGTCCAGGTCTTCGTATAGGCCCCATATATCAGTACCTCCCTATATTCGGTATTTTCATGATTTTAGCGACATTATTCACCGGAATTGTTTGAAAATTGGTATTTGAAGTTCGTAATGAATACTACAGTCTAAGATAGAAAATTGTCTGTGCAAGTCCATTTCTTCGTATAGCCCCCATATAACGGTACCTCCTGATATTCGGTATTTTGGTGATTTTAACGACATTATTCACGGGAATTGTTTCAAATTTGGTACTTGAAGCTCAAAATGGATACTACACCCTAAGACAGAAAATTGTCTATGCAGGTCCAGGTCTTCGTATAACTCCGATATAACGGTACCTCCCTATATTCGGTATTTTGATGATTTTAGCGACATTATTCACCGGAATTGTTTGAAAATTGGTATTTGAAGTTCGTAATGAATACTACAGTCTGTGACAGAAAATTGTCTGTGCGGGTCCAGGTCTTCGTATAGGCCCCAGATATCAGTACTTCCCATATTCGGTATTTTGACGATTTTAGGTACAATACCCACCGAAATTGTTTGAAATGTGGTATTTGAAGTTCGTAATGGATGCTACAGCCTGTGACAGAAAACTGTCTATGCTGGTCCAGGTCTTTGCACAGCTCCAATTTAACGGCAGCTCCTTATATACGATATTTTGATGATTTTAGCTACATTATTCACCGTTTATTTCAAGTTTCCAATTTGAATATGGTAATGGCTTATGACAAACAATGCCTATGTATGTCCACGTCGTATAGACCCCAATATGACGGCTATATTCGGTATTTTTAAAATTTTAACAGAATTTTTTAAGGATTTTATTTTTTTTAAATTTCCAAATTCGTTGCAAATGGTGGAGGGTATTAAAAGTTCGGCCTGGCCGAACTTAGTGCTTTTTAACTTGTTCTAAATGAAATTAACGAAACATTTTAATTCAATAATTTTATGATTCTTATTACGATACCAAATTTTCTGCTCGAAAAGTACTTTTTAATTCTTTTTTGTAGTCGATCAGTACGATCTTTCGTACATTATGCCCTTTTTAACCCCTTCAGACTAGAAGAGACTCTCATGCCAAGTCATAGAGTTACTGTACTATTTTTAGAAACTTTAAAGTACCTCCATGTTCGCATTTATACACGAACCTTCGAAAGTGTAAAGTTTATCTGAAAAAATAAATTTTTTAGTACCTTTTTTGATTTAGTGCTATTTACTGCAGTATTGGCACAAATTGTACTATACTTAAAAAAACAGGACGATTTTTGGTCGAATTTCGAAAAAGGATGAGAAAAACTTGATAACTACTTTTCGAATTCTAAGTGCAGCAGTACATTTGTTGGTACTTTATTAGTACCTTTTAGTATGAGTTTTTGAAAACTGCCAACTAAGTTGATATCTTGTACTTATCGTGATTCACATTCACCAGGAGTATGGTCCACTCCTTCATATTTAGTACACTTAATACCCTTTTAGTACCAAAAAAGATGCAATTTTCTTAAGAAGATTCTAACAAATTTTTAAAACCTTTTTATCAATTTTCAGCATTTTACCTGTATTTGTACAATATTTAGGTCCGATTTTTTAGTCGAATTTCGAAAAATACTGAGCAAAACTTGATATCGAATTTTGGAATTCTAAGTGCAACAGCATATTTCCTGGTCCTTTTTTAGTACCTTTTAGTTCGATTTTTTGAAAACTCCAATTAAGTTGATATCTCGCAACTATCGTGGTTCACATACACCAGAAGTGACCCCTAACCAAATTTCAGAGTTATGGTACCATATTTAGTATATTTGTACCCTTTTAGTACCAAAAAGGTACGATTTCCCTAATTGAATTTCCACAAAAATTTTAAGAATATTAGAAGTTTTGTATAACGAATTTTAGAATCCCAACTGTAAGATTTCGTACTCCAAATGTAACAGTACATTTGTTGGTACTTTTTTTAGTACATTTTAGTACGAGTTTTTGAAAACTTCAATTAAGTGATATCTCGTACCTATCGTGATTCACATACACCAGAAGTGACCCCTAACCAAATTTCAGAGTTATGGTACCATTCCTTCATATTTAGTGCATTTGTACCCTTTTAGTACCAAAGAAAGGTACGATTTTCTAAATTAAATTTCAAAGAAAATTCTAACAATGTTAAAGGACTTGTATAAAAAATTTTAGAATTCCAGCGTTATAGTCCAGAGTTATAGTCTACTTTTCATATTCAGTACATTTGTACCCTTTTAGTACCAAAGAAAGGTACGATTTTCTAAATTAAATTTCAAAGAAAATTCTAACAATATTAGAAGACTTGTATTACAACTTTTAGAATTCCAGCTATATCAGAACAATATTTAGTATAATTTCGTACTTTTAGTACGAATTTCTCAAAACTGCAATTTTGTCTGCGGAATATCATCAAGAATAGCCTATGTGCAAGCATTCAAAATTACATCTCTAAAAATTCAGAATGTTAACTTCACAAACACAGTTTTTTGTACTAATTAGTACGAATTCTAAAAAAACTGCCTTGTCTTCCCTCCCAGGTGGTACCGCCCTTTCAAAGGATAGAAAATAATTTTGATTTTGGAAAAGCACGAAGAAAATGTTGCCAAATTTTTTAGTCTGCCTGATTTTTTAGCACATCACCTCACAAGGGATTCTTAGCACTTTTTTACTTCCGTTTTGAATTTTTTTCTAAAAATTTTCTGTTTTTTGTCTCGTTTGTCCTTTTGTGTAAATAAATCTGTATATTTTTGTATAGCATGCTTAGCTGATATCAATATATAACTATGTGTCCGATCACGTTTCTGGAATATTTATTTACTAATAACCTTTCTTCTTTTCCCCCTTGCCCCCGCACAGTCATCGTGAACAGGAACAACGCAATGCCGAAGATGTCTTGTTTGATATGTTCTACAATGAGGAGACGGGTCTTATATCGATGGGCAAATTCCTGGCTGCCCTCAAGACCACTGGCATACGGCGCAGTGATCCACGTATCAAGGAGTTGATGGAAAATCTAAAAAAGGTGCACAAGTTGTCCAACTATGAGTCTGGGTCATCGGCTGAGACCCAAAACCTGAATCGTGAGACTTTTAAGGCGTAAGTGAAAATAATAGTTTTTTATAAATAATTTTATTAATTTTTTTAAATTTATTTTTGCAGTGTGGTTGCCCAAAACATTGTCCTGATTGCCAAGGCCTTCCGCCAACAGTTTGTCATACCCGATTTTGTGGGCTTTGTCAAGGATGTCGAGGACATTTATTGGAAATGTAAAAGCAACACCGATGGCAAGGTGGCCGATTACATACCCCAGCTGGCCCGCTATAGCCCCGAATCCTGGGGTGTCAGTATTTGCACCATTGATGGCCAACGCTACTCCATTGGCGATGTCGACATACCCTTTACATTGCAAAGTTGCAGGTAATTATTTTTTTTGCCAACGAATTCTTTTCATTTGCCATGGACAAATTTTCATTCATTGTCGCTAGATCAGTCCGGTCAGGTTGGTTTTGTATTCTGGTTTTTTTGTTCTAAATTTTTTTGTTTTTCCAAAGAAAAAATCTAATGAGAATTATTGCAGTTCGATCACATCGTTGTGAGAGTCGTGAGCAAAGCGGCGAGCCACTTCTTTCTTAAAATAAAAGGAAGAAAGAAAAAAGAAACGGCCTGCTTGGTTCATTGATTTCAGCTTGTTGGTCACCTCTGCCCAGGCGTGTGTGAGAATGTGAATGCTGTGGTGTGTTTGTGTTGTGCTTACCCACCTCCAAAGTGTGATGGGCTGCTGTTGTTCTTCGTTGTTTGTTAGACCCATCATCCCATCCATACAAACCACACCCACTGTTGTTTCATCCATTCGTTCGTTCGCTCGCTCGTTTGTTCGAAAAACGAACGAATATTCGTTAAGCTAAAATGCCAAACAAAAAACAAACACTGCTCTCAGCTATCTCTCTAAAGGTCTGTTCTCGTATTAATTGCAACAAATTTTACTTTATTATTTTCCTTTTGCAACAACAATAGCAAACCCCTGACCTATGCCATTGCCTTGGAAAAGTTGGGACCCAATGTGGTGCACTCGTATGTTGGCCAGGAGCCAAGTGGTCGGAATTTCAACGAGCTCGTATTGGATTATAATAGTAAGTGTGAAGAGGAATTAGAGAAATCGGAAATAAATATTAAACATAAATAAATAAAATTTAATAATTAAAAATTATTATTAAATTTTTTAAAATTTTATGTTTAATAATTTTCTGATTTTTTCAATTTTACTAATAAATATTTTTTTAAATCATTTCTTATTTTAAATTGTCTTTTTTCCCTTTTTCCAGATAAACCCCACAATCCCATGATCAATGCTGGTGCCATATTAACCTGTTCCCTCATCCATGCCCTGATCAAACCCGAAATGACAATGGCCGAGAAATTCGATTATGTCATGAATTGGTTCAAACGTCTGTCGGGCGGTGATAATATCGGCTTTAATAATGCCGTATTCTTGTCCGAGCGAGAAGCTGCCGATCGCAACTATGCCTTGGGCTTTTATATGCGTGAAAATAAATGTTATCCGAAGCGTACAAACCTCAAGGAGGTTATGGACTTTTATTTCCAGGTGAGAGAACTAAAAAAAAAAAAAAAAACAAGTAAAACCAATAGGGTAAAGTAAAAATCGGACGGGCCGACTGTATGATACCCTACACCACTATGCATATTTAGTAGAGCTCCCGTAACAAAATAATTTATTTGAAGTAGATCATACCACCTATCAAGGCATGGGAGGCATATGCAATTCTGAATCGATTTTCACTAAATTTGACGGGGACATTTTAATCTGTTATACGAAATAACATTGCTATAGAGTGCATGATAGCACTTCGAGAAGGATTGTATTAAAAAATATATATATCGGAGCCGAGTTCCACAAAATGAATACGTACTTTGGAAATTTACTCCATTTGGGCTGATATTAGTCATTATTTTCACAATAAACCTGAATTCGGATTAAGGGTATATATGGTAGCTATATCCAAATCTGAGCCGATCTCGATAAAACTTAGCAAATGTATTTCCTAACCCTATAAGTTATCTGGTACCAAAAAACGTTGCTGTCAAATGCATATTACGAATGTGAGGGACTTAAAGGCCAAATCGGATGAAACCTATGTATGGGAATTCGATGTACTTGCTTTTAGACTGAATTCGAAGGGATGTACCAAAATTTAGGACTTTTGGGCTGATAATGACATTTGGTGCACAATTAAACCGAAATCGGTTGAAGATATATATGGGAGCTATATTCAAATCTGAACCGATTTTGATAAAATTTGGCAGAGGTATTTCTGGGCTGTATCTGATATCTGGTACCATATATAAATTTCTTGGAGTGCGAATGTGAGGGACTTCAACACCAAATCGGATGAAACATATATATGGAAGCTTTAGCTATATCTGAACCGATTTTCATCAAATGTTTTTGCTTGGGAACTGAAATCGGCCAGATATGCCTAAATTCAGGTCATTTGGACCGATATTGGCTATTTGGTGCACAATTAACCCGAAATCGGTTGAAGATATATGTGGGAGCTATATCTAAACCTGATTCGATTATCCTTGGGCCAAACAAATATTGTTTGGAAAATTTCATTCATGCGACCTGCATTTTGTTCACAAGGATACATAGGCAGACGGACAGATTATATGGATAATGTTCTGTCGGCGTACAAAGAACTTATTGCGAATTCTAAATACCGAATGTTAAGCTATTTCGCTGAAAACTGTTGCTGAAATCGGGAAAATACCGAATATCGGGAGGTACAATTTTCTGCCACAGTAGAAAGAACTCACAAAAACTTCCAAATACCGAATGTTAATCTATTCCGCTGGAAACGAAGGTTAAACTCGTCAAAATGCAAAATATGCGGAGGTACAATTATATGGGGGCTATAGAAAAACGTGGATCCGTATAGACAATGTTCTGTCACAGCAGATTTGACTCATTACGAATTTTAAGTTTTTCCGCTAGAAGCTGAGATTCAAATCATTAAAATACCAAATATGGGGAGGTACAATTATATGAGACCTATAGGAAAAAACATAGACCTCTAATATCGGGAGTTACAATTCTATGGGAGCTATACAAAAGCATGGACCAATATGGATAATGTCCTGCCAATTATAAATGTTCTGCCACTTATAAACTTCAAATACCGAATTTTAAGCTATTCCGCTAGAAACTAAGGCAAAAATTATCAAAATACCTAATATATGGAGGTACAATTATACGGGGCTATATGAAAGCCTTTACCGATATTGCTCCCTTATTCTTCATCCCCATGGCTAAATCGACTTCCCATTTTACTCTGATCAAGGATTTATATACTTTGTTGGGTCTAAAATGAACAGTTCGATGAGTTACAAACGGAAGGAAAGACTTAATAACAACATTCCCCTTAGGGGCCGGTTTTACGATTCCAAGCGACACGAATTCTATCCGAATAGGGGCTGTTTTTTCTTTCAGACCCTCCATTTTCATTAACATTTTTTTCAAATCGTATTTTTTTGTTCTTTTCTTACAGTGCTGCTCCATGGAAACCACCTGCGAAGCAATGTCTGTCATAGCCGCCACCCTGGCCAATGGTGGTATTTGTCCCACCACAGAGGAGAAAATTTTCCGGCCCGAGGTGGTACGTGATGTCCTGTCAATTATGCATTCGTGCGGTACCTATGACTACTCTGGTCAGTTTGCCTTCAAAGTGGGCCTGCCCGCCAAGTCTGGAGTCAGCGGTGGCATGATGTTGGTCATACCCAATGTTATGGGTATTTTTGCCTGGTCACCTCCGCTAGATCAATTGGGCAACAGTGTTCGTGGTGTACAATTCTGTGAGGAATTGGTGAATGTTTTCAATTTCCATCGTTATGATAATTTGAAACATGCCACGAATAAGAAAGATCCTCGCAAACATCGCTATGAAACCAAAGGCTTGTCAATTGTCAATTTGCTCTTCTCGGCAGCGAGTGGAGATGTAACGGCGCTGCGTAGACATCGTTTGTCTGGCATGGATATTACCTTGGCCGATTATGATGGTCGTACGGCCTTGCATTTGGCTGCCTCCGAGGGTCACTTGGATTGTGTACGTTTCCTGTTGGAACAGTGTCATGTTCCACACAATCCCAAAGATCGTTGGGGTAATATGCCCGTAGATGAGGCAGAGAATTTCGGCCATCATAATATTGTGGAATATCTGAAGGAGTGGGCCGAAAAGGCTGTGAATAATGAAGAAGTGGCTACAGAGGCTGTGGTCAAGAATACCGAAGCTGATGAGGTAAGAGAATGTTATTTTAAATTGAAAAATTGATATTAATTAAAGCCTACTTTTAGGAGCTTATCACTCAGGACATTAAGACTGGCTATGATCGCAGTGCCACCGCCAGTCCCATGCCATCGGAAGCCAGCTCCAGTAGTGGTCCCGATGATCACAGCCGTCCCGGCCTTTAAAGACTTAGACTTTAGTAGTATACCTGAAAGTAGCGGTTAATGGAATCTCTTAATTTTTAATTTTTCCTAGGAACTTTTTTTTATATAGTTTTCGTTTTCAAGCATGTGTGAGTTGTAACGGATATAAGAAAGGGGAAATGTCAGCATTTTTTCGGAAATCTATTAAATTTAAGAGATTTCCTCGAGAAATCCTCTAAACTTTTATGGGAAATTTATTTGTTTTGAAAACGTTTGTGGGAAATTAATATGTTTTGAAAGATAAGATATGTCTATAAAGGACTTTTTTTAATGAAACCGTTTTCCGCTTTTTATACACCACAAGGTGTAACAGGCAAAAGGAAACGAGATAGACCCATAGTTCCTTTTGATGATCTGCATAGAATCACATTCTGTGTCGATTTATGCATGTCCGTCCGTCCGTCTGTCTGTACATGTATTTTTGTACACAAAGTACAGTTCGGATTTATTGCCCTATCCAGATGAAATTTTGCACAAATCATTTGTTTGGTCCAAGAACGAACCCTATTGAAATTGGAGATAATCGGTCAAAATTTAGATATAGCTCCCATATATATCTTCGTCCGATTTGCCTTTTATTGTGCACCAAACGTGTAATATCAGCCCGAATAGTATGGAATTTTGCACATACAACCAAATTAGGCCTGCAAATAAGTATGCCAAATTTGATCGAAATCGGTTCAGATATAGCTATAGCCCCCATATATATTGTTTATTCGATTTGTTATTTTTGTCCTCCGCAGTCGTAATATGCACTCTGTGACAACAATATTTGGGGAAATATATTAAATACAGCTCAGAAATACATTTGCTAAAGTTTTATCGAGATCGGTTCAGATTTGAATATAGCTCCCATATATAACTTCGTCCGATTTTCATTTTATTGTGCACCAAACGTCTAATATTTGTCCAAATGGGATGAAATTTGGCTCTTACGACCGAATTAAGTCTCGAAGCTAGTATGTCAAATTTGGTGAGAATCGGTTTAGATATAGCTATAGCTCCCATATATATGGCTCATCCGATTCGTTATTTTTGTCCTCCGCAGCCGTAGTTTGCACTCTGTAACAACAATATTTTGGGAAATATATCAAATACAGCTCAGAAATACATTTGTTAAAGTTTATCGAGATCGGTTCAGATTTGGATATAGCTCCCATACATAACTTCGTCCGATTTACCTTTTATTGTGCACCAAACGTCTAATATTTGTCCAAATGGGATGGAATTTGGCAATTACGACTGAATTGAGTCTAGAAGCTAGTATGCCAAATTTGATGAAAATCGGTTCTGATATAGCTACAGCTCCCATATATATTGTTCATCCGATTTGTTATTTTTGTCCTCCGCAGTCGTAATATGCACTCTGTGACAACAATATTTGGGGAAATATATCAAATACAGCTCAGAAATACATTTGTCAAATTTTATCGAGATCGGTTCCGATTTGGATGTAGCTCCCATATATATATCTTTATCCAATTTCAAATTAATTGTGCACCAAATGGGCAATACAAGTCCGAATTTAAAAGATACAAATGCTTCGGCATATTTAGTCTTTTGAACTTTAAATTATAATTATAATCATAGCATGTATGATTGAATTCTCCCATAAAAACTTTTAATTGTTATGCGGAGCTCTACTAAATTAGCAAAGTGGTGTAGGGTATCATAAAGTCGGCCCAGCCCGCCTTTAAGACTTTCTTTACTGGTTTGAGAATGTTGGATTATAATATAATTTTTACATTTTTTAATCGAAAATAATTATAAGGAAAAAAAGACGTTTATAGCCTAAAACTTGCTACTTTTAAATTGTTTTCCTATAACTGAAAAATCTCTGAAATTTTATCTTAAAGTCAAAAATATTTTTGCTTTCTTATATCCGTTAATTTGCTATTAAAAATTCCACAATTGTTATTATATTAATACCAGATAGATATAGAAGGTTCAAAGCTTTAGTTTCCAAACTCGAATCATAAAAAGAGGCATTTTATTTTGAAAGAAAAAAATCGACTTAGCATATCTACTTCCACAGTCCATAGATTTTCCAAAGAGAGGAGGGAAGAACCACAAGCTCCCACATAAAAAAATTATAAATAATGGGACAATTGAATGGTATATCCCTTGCCTTCCTCTTATGTAGTTTACTTCCATAGAAATTTTTTCACAATATTCCAAAGCCATAAAAAACCAGCCAGTGTTGACCACAAGATATTTAAACGAAAAAAAAGAAAACAAATAACCAAAAGAGAAATCCTGATAATGACAATAATACTACTTAAACAAATAATAATAATAATATTTATGCCACAATTTAAATTACTTATATATATGTATGTATGTAAGCTCATAAGTATATTTGTGTATTTTTATGATTCTTAATGATGAGATGGGTAATAATTTACCTTGTCACAAAAACGAGTTCCAAATAGTCCATTAAATATGTTCGTCTTTTTTTTTTGTCCATAGAAAATAGATCTCCAACGCCGCCACTTCATAACTCACACTCATTTTCACCTAAGGAGAATTTCAAAAACTATTCACACTCGTCGTCGTCGTTTTTTTTTAACTCTTTCTCATCAATGATTTGATTGATATTCCTGTGATTAACTCGAAATCTATTTTTGTATTTAGAAGATATCAAAGAAACAAAACTTAATTTTAAATTAAAAAAAACATCACTTATAATTTGAATTAGTTAATTACTATTATTGTTATTTTAAATATTAACTGAGAAATATGTATTATTTTTTTTAGCTTTGTTCATTGTAGGTTTAATTCACAGGTTCCTTTTTTACATTTATATAAAAACAATCATCCAAACACACATACATAAAACAATATTCATTAAGTCTACCCTTTAAAGAATGAGAAATAACTCTACCAACAATAAGCATTTTATTTTTCTTAGGTTATCTATTTTTTTTAGTTATTTAAAAACAAAACAAAAAATAATTATAAAAAAACATATACATATATATGTATGTATTTATGTACAAATACCTTATGTATATGTGTATATACCAAAAAAAAAATTAATATATTCTTTATTATATATTTATCTATATATATCTATGTATATGTAACCTGTATAGTTTCATAATGCCGAACAATTATGAATGACATCAATTAAATGTTTTAAAACTAATTATAAAATGTGTTAAATCGAAATAAAGAGTTTACCTAATTTGGGGTATAAATGCACCAAATAAAAAAAAAGAAATTTATTTTTTTGTATTTTATAAAATTGGAAATATGTGATATAATAGGTTTTGTTCAAAACTTAGAATATCATTTAAAGACCTTTTCTAGATTCATAGATTTGTTATACAGATCTTTTTGGGCATCTTCTTCAGAGGAAAGTCCTGTGAGAGTTCATCTATAAATGGAACATTGTCTAGAAGACTTTACCATTTCAAGTCCTTTTCTAAATCGATAGAATTTTTATACAGATCTTTTTGGGGATCTTGTTCAGAGGAAAGTCCTCTGAGAGGACTTGGCTAGAAGGCTTTAAGAGACAACATAAATTCTACCTTTTTTCTTTTAATAGAAGACCTTCATGATGTCATTTTAAGTATCATTAATGTCTAGTTTATCTTTTACAGTACTTTTATGGGTAAAATAACTTTCAATTTTTTTTGGCTGAACTGAGTCCTGTATCGTTCATAAATTCCATTGAAACCATCTAGACCATTAGGAATTAAAAAAACTGATATTTTCCTTTTCAGGAGGTTCAAATCGATTTTTAACAAGTAAAAAAGCAGTAAGTCCACCATACGGAACGAATTTGGAAATTTTCAAAAACAATAACACCTGCTTAAAACTTTGTTAAAATCTTAAAAATAATATACGATAAATAAAATACGAAGACGTGGATCTGCATAGGCAAATTTTGTCATAAGCCATATTCAAACACACAACTTGAAAAAAGAATCCGGTGAATAATGTAGCTAAAATTATCAAAATATTGAATACAGGGAGGTTATGTTATATTGGATCTATACGATTTTCTGTCACAGGCTGTAGTACCCATTGGGAACTTCAAATATCAAATTTCAAATAATTTCGGTGAATATTGTGCCTAAAATCATCAAAATACCGAATTTAGGGAGGTACTGATATATGAGGCCTATACGAAGACGTGGATCTGCACAATTTTCTGTTATCTTCTCTCTTCCTATCTCTCTCTCTTCCTATCTAAAAGATTTCTCTTCTAGTAGTTTTTTTCGTTATAGAGGGACTTTAGAAGGTCTTCTCTCAGTAGACTCTAAAAATTTCCTCCTGAATATCTAATCTCCAAGGCAAAACTTTAGATAATTTTCCCTCCATATTGAAAATGTTGATCTCTATAGAAAACCTCTAAAAAATATTTCCATAGAAAGCCTCTAGAAATCCCCCGATCTCCACAAGATCCGAAAAAGATCTTCTCCACACATATAAAGGCTTTAGAAAATCCAAATCTCTCTAAAGAAGAGATTTGGAAGGTCCCTAGAAATCTTCTATCTTAGGTGTTTCGCCTTCACAAAGGAGTTTAAAATCCTGCTTGCGTATGAACTTTGATTTCTGTTCACAGAAAATGTGATTCCCTGTTTCTAGATGAATTTCCCCTCACTGTACCCTCGGTAAATTCGGCTCACTGTTTTCATAGGCATTCCGACTTCCCAGAGAAGTTTAAAGTCACTATTCCCAATTCGGTTTTTACACCCTCCACCATAGTATGGAGGGTATATTTAGTTCGTCATTCCGTTTGTAACTCATAGAAATAATAATTTTAGACCTTACGAAGAATAACGGTCCCGAAAAGGCCTCTTTCAAAAACTCTTCCATCAAAGAGGACTCTTGCAACGTCTTTCCTAGACCTGGAATACCTTTTAAAGGTCTTCAAAAGTCTTCCATAAAGTAAATTCTCTCAGTGGGCTTTTTATAGTGAGAAGAGTTTTCAGAGAGGCCTTCATCCCGAAAAAGGGTATTTTAGAAACTCTTCCAACAAAGAGGACTCTTGTAACGTCTTTCCTAGACCTAGAATACCTTTTAAAGGCCTTCTTTGAGTCTTTTGTGCTTAGTAGATATCTGAAAGGGTTTTCTTGGGTAGAATATATCTGTCTAACCTTTTTGTTGTTTAAGAATCTTCCACAGATCCTTTTTAGACATCGCACCTTCTAAAGGTAATCTATAGGCCTTCATATAGGATAGTCGATTTTAGCTACCATTGTGTACGTTGAAATTTTTATGGTTTGTGTCCCGGCTACTTTTGTACAAAAGCTTGGTGACTACGGTCCATTTCTTAATTATGTTAAATAAAAGCTCTTTTCAGAAGGAAAACCTTTTAACATTTCCATTACTGTTCCATTAATGTTAAGATTAAAGCTTGTCACCCCCTTAGCCGAAGGAACTTGGAAACTATGACCGGCATTTGTACCTCAACAGATTTTATGTAAGTGTGTAACAATGTGTGTGCTTTTTGAAATATAGCTTTACTGTTACATTTTTCACTGTTCAATCACCAGAGCCATTAAAAAGCTTCAATTACTTTGCCAACGCCAAGCGTTACAGTTCGAGGCAACAGAACGCCATTACAGAAAGTACCTGGACAAGTTTCATTGCGGCTGTATACCTTCGCACAAGAATAGTTGAGAGTGGAAGACAGTCGACTATAGAAGCGTCGAACGACAAGAACGGTAGCGGTAGTTCATATTTATGGAAGATTTTCCGATAAAACGGGAGTTTTGAAAAAAAAAACATTTTTTTTGAATAAAAAAAAAATTGTGGAAAATTTTTGAAAAATCTCATAACTTGTCTGGCCTTAAATCCGATTAATAAACATGAAAAATTACTAGCAATTTATGTGAGAAAAAATAGAAGAAGAAAATAATAGATAACAACATTTTCCCGAGCCATTCAAAAGTACTCTAATTTTGCCGGCTGTGTTTTGTTGATTTTCCTCTGATTGGGGTAGGTTATGATTGGCGGTGCTTTCATGTGCATGGAGTTGATTGTGTTCGTTTGTGTGTGTGCGAGTGAGTGTTTGTGTATAGCCTTGGTGGGTGTGTGAGACCATTTAAAGCCAGCCGTAGCATCATCAAGAGCAGCATCTCTTGATTTTTCCCACCGGCAAGCAGTGAGCCGGGCAACTTACAGCTACAGCAACAGCATTAGCCAGCATCCATATCCGCAGCATCATCACCAACATCATCATTAGTGTGGCAAACCGGCAGCCAGTCAGTCACTCCAGTCTGTTGGTGAGTTTGTGACTATAACTCCTTCATGCCGTTGACTTTTCCCATGCACTTGCCAGCCAACAAGGGTGTCAACGGATAGATAGAGAACTTGCCTTTGCCGCTCACATAAAAAACTGGGAAAATTTCTGTGTTTTTTTTTGTTTTTGGTGAACTCGAAAAAAAATTTAAATAAGAAACTTGAAATAATATCGAAAAAGAAAATTCAAAAAAAGATATTACAAAAGAGAGCGGACTATACTCCATAAAAGGACCCAGTGATACACTGAGAAAAAGAAGAAGAAAACAACAAAAAACCCTAAAAAGTTGCCGCCCTTTTTGAAAAAAAATACGCTGCCCGCTTTTGAAGTTGGCCTCAAAGTAAATCCTGTTTAATATCCTTTCGTTGGTCTACACTGAGAGTAGGAGAGCAGAGGTGGAAAACAACCCCCCCCCCCCACACACAAAAGGAGGTAAGTAAGCTGGAGTGCTTGGTCGTATTAAACTCTTGACAGAGCGAAAGGACTTTTTGGGCTTTGGTTCAAAAATCATGCATATGCTTGCTACTTAAATTGCCAAATGGGATTATAATGAACAGCCATCCTTTTATCCTCAAAGGAGAGATGTGTGTTTTACTTTTTCTCCTTCCACTTGTTCTTTGAGTGAAGGATATAATAATGTAAGGCTGGATGTCCAGCCATTCAGGCCTTTAGGAAGCCGGCTGGCCGTTAGCCTTTTTTGCATTGTCCACTTTGAATGAGAGGGGGATGTGTGGTATGGGAGTTATGTTGGTTCTATTCGTGCAGATGAATATCATGATATTTCCTGGGAATATGACATGTGTCAATAATCATGCAACTCTCCAATACACACACACGCACACATGTACGCTAACACACACACACACATTCACTCCATTGAAGTCGAGGTTTTTGAAAAGGAAGTAATCGTGCCATTTTATGCTCTATCTAGGTATGTGTGTGTGTGAGTAGATGTGATTTCTATATGTGAGTGTTAAGGAGTGTTGACAACAGGAATTGCCCCCCTCTCTCTCTCTCTCCAATCACATCTCCATTTGCTATCTATTGTTGTTGTTCACAAGAGAGCTGGGGATTTTGCTAATGCATAAATACATATTAGACATTAGAGGGGGTCGAATGTAAAAGGATTTTTAAGGGATTTTTTTAGATCCTAAACATGAATTTTGAAGAAAAGCTTCCCTAGGATCTGGAATCATATTTTTTTAAGTCCATAAATTGAGAGTTTTGTAAGAAAATGTTAAAAAATTCCAAAACTGAATTTTTAAAGAATTGATTTTTTTTTAAATGATTTAAGAAAAAATTTTTAACTTCTACTGCGAATTTTTTCAAAAAAATGTTTTTCAAACTTCAAATCGCGACTTCGTAAGGACATATTCTTAAATTCCAATTTTTAACTTTTTAGGGCTTTCTTAGTGTATTTTTGAAATAATTTTTAAAGCCTTTTAAAGAGGATTTTTCAAGAAATTTGGCAACATTTTGTCTTCTATTTGGTCTTTTAAAGTATTTTCGAATGGATTTCTTAAAGATTTTTAAGGTGGATTTCC